ATGATGATGATGATGATTATTATTATTATTATTTAAGTGGTTCTCTTACGTCCTTCCGATAATATTGAAATACAGCATATATAAAGATAATATTTACTGAAGCTAATACATGATTACTTCAATAAATTATCAATTAATAGCATATATCATAACAACCAATTATTAATCATTGATATACTTTAAATACAATAAATTTAATGATACGAGAAAAGTAGGAGAGAAAAAGTAGTATTAAAATGAATGAGTGGATGGGAAGAGTGAATGGATGGAATGGGATGGAATAGGTGGCTGAATTGATGGGTGGATTGGAAGAATAAATAGATGGATGTGTGCAGATGACAAAGTTAGTAARGCTGCGTTGATAATGTATGGCAGAGGGAGGGGGCAAGTGAAATTTAGGGGGATCGGGAAAATTTTGGTATAAAAAAAGATGGGGATGGGCAAATTTTTATCAGAAAAATGGGGGGAGATGCACAATTTTTGGAAGAAGCTACAAGCCTTGCTTAGGGGGGATCGTATTTTTTGGCATGACTTTAAGGGGGTGTTAAGAATTATTCTGGACATTTCTAATTTTCACCTACCCCCCCCCCAGTGCCATACATTATGAATGCAGCCTATCTTTCAGAAATTTATGGAGATTTAGTTATTTGAAATTATTACATCATTTAACTGGATAATCCGTTTTTTTTAACCCAGAGTAATTTTACACTGCACGTGAAAAAGTTCATAAGTCAGAAATGTTTACTTCGTAAAAGTAGACTATTTTGATATCATATAAATAAACAATTTAATCACGTTTTTAAACTCTGAGTAATTTTCCGGTGACACGGAAAAGTCACGCAAACACTCGACTTCGACAAAAACAGCCGTGGGCTTGCACTATACGCTAAACACTCACCTCTGAGCTGTTATCTAGGTATCTAGTTCTAGTTAAATAACCAATAAGTAGCTATGCACATCACAAAGTGAGATTAAGATATTCTACGAACTCAGGCATTGATCGAAGATGAATTGCACTTTATACTATCATGTAATCACTATGCTACTGAAAGAAACAAACTTTTCAATCAAATAAACAACRATTATCATCAATTTTCTGAACTTGACGACTCAAAGAAAATAAAATTTCTTTTTAATAGTATTGATCCATTCATCTGCAACTCTTTTGCAGCTTTCGTATATTACTCTATAACAAAGAGAAATAACACAAATTAAGTCTTAATTGCAAATATTATAAGTTAAATATCATATATAATATATAGATTGTTACTGTTCTCGCACAGTTATTTTACCATAACTTTGTAAAATAATTACATTGACACTATTAGTCTATAAGTAATACCATGTAAATCTTGGGAATACTTCAATCAATTGTATTGTATTTTTGATTGACAGCAGCGAAAACCGCAGTGACAAACGAAGTGAGTGAAAATAGGTAGGAAACCTGCTATGTGCTTCGGACTACGGTTTTTTCAGTTCTGCTGTGGTCGGAATAGCCGAGGATTCTACTATTTTGTTCTCATATATTTCGAACAGAGTTTGTGAAATAATGATTCATCAGCATTTTGAACTCAGTCCAAGTAATTTTCCGCTGCCCTGGGAAAGTTCATACAAATATTTAAAAAAACGTGACTTCGACGAAATCTGCTGAGCTTGCATTTACAAAGCGGTTATTGTACTTGCTCTCACTTTTCAATAACAAAATATCAGTCCAACTTATAAAACCTTAAGAAATATCAATATGTTTTGAATTTTAAGGATGAAAACAGTTGTTTTTTTTTTTTGTTTTCACTTTTGTTGTAAACAAACCTTGCAAGGATAATGAAATTACACGTGCTCCTCCGGAAGCGTGGCGTTTCGCCAAGGGGTCAACTGATTCTTGAACCATTACGTACAATGAAAAATATGCCGTTTTAGATAGAAAAAATCAGAAAATAAAATTTGCAGTTTTTGAACAGTTTTTTTTCTTCTTTCAAAAATATTCCTTTTAAATCGAGCTATTATGTACAACGTAAACGCCCTTCCTCGTCAGACGCCGTTTTGAATCAAGGATCATTCGTAAAAATCAACAAAGCATTGGAATTATAAATATTTTCTTTTTCTTTTTTTTAATTATAATTAAAATCTAGAAAGAAGAGGCAATGAAGTGGCAATGATTATGAAGGTATGATTCAAATCACGTTCGAAGAGCCGCTTAAGAAAAACAAATTTTAAGTCGACATGCTCGGAGTCCTTGTAGGTCAGAGGTCGGTTGGGCATGTGGTCCTAGAACAAAAACAGGAAAGTAATAATAACAAAGCACATCTATAAATATCGATGATCCTTAATAGACTTGATAGACTCTGATAATGACATTTTTGTAAAATTAAAAGTTGCATTCAGTCTTTAAGATTTTTATGAGTGAAGTAAAAGATGTTGGAATGTGAAAAAAAAAAGCCAAACAACGTCGATTTGTTTCGTCTATAATGACGACTTCAATCAGCAACCGAGAAAAAAATACTCAATGTCACTGTCACAAGGTTGAAATTACCTTTTTACGGCTAGGTTGAGATAATAATATATCATCGATATATTATAATAGTCACTAAAAATTCATTCAAGTAAATCTGCCGAACCGATTAAAACCCTTTTCCTTCTGCCTAGCTTCGTAACAATATAGGAAGCCTTTCAAACTAATTATCTTAAAATGTTTTTTTTAATGGGAACTCAGTGAAGTTTAACCAAGCATAATAAAGTATTAATTTTGATGAGTTATCTTAGAATAGTCCATTTTATCTTTTTGGTTGTTTCCTGTGCGTAGTCACATTAGCTGCATTTTGCTGAGTCATGGTCAAAGTCGGGGAAAACATTATCAAATCAAGCATGTTTTGAACGTCCAATATACTCCGTTATCATAATACTCATTACAACCTTAGAAATATCTCTTGTCCAAGACCAAAGATTTCTAGAGTGCACGCACTAAAACCGTGAACATCAAATAGTACTAATTAGTACTATTTCATACAGAATCCTTTGTTTTCTATTGTTTAATTATCACTATTTAGTGCTAAAAATTAGTAATCGTTTCACGGATTTTGTGTGAGCACTCTACTACAGAACGTTTTAAAAATTCTTTTAGTAATAGATTGATTTTTAACTATAATTTCGCTTTTTAGTGTCGTTTTTTTAATACCAAATTTATTTATTTTTATATCATGTTTATTAATACTATATTGTGTATTTGTACTTGAAACTTGATGTGTATTTCATCAAATGTAATAAAGACTTTATTATTATTATTATTATTATTATTATTATTCATAATATTTCATAAGCATAAATTACTTTGTCCATCATTTTCAACGTTATACATTTACGTGATATCAATATATTACTTAATAACATAATCATATTTAGTACTGTTTTACACTTGTTTACATTTTAAGAAAAGAAGAATAGTTAAATATTTCTGATAGTAAAGCAGTCTAAAAAGAAACCATATATTTTCTAACTTTCAAGACTTTCTTAAACCGAAACGTAGATATCAGGCTTGAGAGAAACGTTTTTCGAGCTTCTGATTCTGTGATGGTATCATTACCTCTCGTAGTTAGACAGTACGTGAGTTTGACACAATTCAGTTCCTTTTGAAATGTTTCCAAAAAAAATATTTTGCAAAGATGTAGTTTCACGGAAACATTTATCGACTTCTTGTTTTGCTACAGCGGAAGTGATCATGACCTTTATCAAGTATTTCGACAAACAGCTAGGAAAAAACATGATACCAAATTTGACTCTGTTGTGAGACCCAGAAACAACACAGCAAAGCCAAATTTTACCTATGTGAAAATATTTCTTTTCCCCTCCCCCCTTGGGCCTGCGATTTGTAGGGCACAATCCGGCTTGGCAAACATTATCGTAAATTTCTTTAAAATATACAACAAAAGAGAATATTTTTTAAATGTTAGCATTCTAGGCCAGTGCGCATCTACTAAGTCGGGTTTTATTTAATTTTCTACAAAAATATTGTTTAGAAAGAAATTGATAACTAAACGAGCTTATTTCTTTGACATTTATTTTTTTTAGTGCTCAATTTTCATCTCCGGATTTCAAAAATTTAGTCGGAACATCTTTTCCTAACTCGACAAGACACGTACCCTGCGAGCAGAGTCTTTTTTCACCCCCTCCTTAACGCTCAGTGGCAAGCTGGTCAGAAAAAGACCCCAACAAGCAGCGGTACGGCGATGAATCGAGGAGTTACGACGTGGCCTATTTTGCACACGACGCCTATTTTTCGTCCCTTCGTCGCGTCCTTTTCGTCAGCCATATGGCAGATAATCTAAACTTTAATTTTTAACCTTCATTGACTCCGTGACAAGATTCACTAATCTTTCAAGTAAGGTGACTAGATATTCGATAAAGAACACCGATAAGACTATTAACGATAAGACTGACTGTGCTACACTAAAATATGTAATAAAAATATGAACTTGGTCAACCTTGTAGTTCAAAACCTGTCAGTCAGATCAGTATCACTACAGACCTTGTAACAGTTGCTAAACTTGTATAATTTGCCAAACTGCATAGTTTCTCTTTCAAAGTTATTGTAACCTCTTGAATTTTGATATATCTATTCCTCAACTGAAACTATCCAATCTTGGTTTATTTTATAAAAAATGACAGATGTTATTGTGTATATCGGTGACAGCCTATTTGGAGTCAATACAATAGGTTTTTGTGCCGTTTCAGAAGACAAAGTAACAGATATGTAAAGCTAATTAAGTGGTAAAGAAGACATAAAGACTGCAAGAAAGCCATGGACCTAGGATTGCTGTCTTGTTGTCAAGGGAAGAGACTTTAACTTCAAATATGCCTTGCTAATAATACGAGATATAGGAGATAAATCAAAACAAAAAATATAATTAAGTTTATAGTTACAAAAATATAAACAAATGTCAAATTGTTTGGATCTACTTTTTACGTTGCTAGGGGGAAATATGCCTGAGAAGGTATAGGCAAGAAAATATTTCCGCATGGGTTTGCAAAGAAAATTGATTTTTGTTTTATTTTGTTCTACTCAAGAACTAACTGAATCTTAAAATTATGTTACTCATAGCTTTAAATGTTTTAAATTGAACAAAGTGATCATGAAATGGCCCTCCAAACCTTCAGTCAGCAAAGTCAAATTCGCAAAGTGTGACCGCATTTAGACAAGTGGTCACAAGTACTTAGTATATTTGAAAGTCAATGGTTTTTGTAACTAGTTCAATCGTATTTGACTTCTCAAACAAAATGCCAATATATTTAAGTTGAACTGAAGCTAAGCCAGGAACAACCTTTCCTTGCTTTAAGATAATTTTAAGTAAACCTATTAACTGCCTTCATGTTATATACACACTTGCTCTAGAACAAGGCGTAGCTCCAGGGACGTGACTAGGAATTTTCCGAAGGGGGGCCCYCCAAGGTCAAAATTCCGCCATCTTGTTTGCGCCCCCGAAACGCCGAACCAATAAAAAAACAAAAGAAACTGGTTTTATATTTACAAAAACAAAAGAACCGCCATTACTTTTTACATTTTATGCAAGGGAAAAAGCGAATTTAAATTACCGTATACATCCTAAAAGGCTGCCATTTTGTTGCCACGAAGGGGGGAGAGGGGGGCTGGACCCCTTGGCACTACCCCCTGTCTACGCCTCTGAGCTTAACAAGTGGTTACAGATGGCACGATAGAAAATAAGCGCTGGCGTCTACTCAGTAGTGCTCTTGACGAGAACTCCAAAGCATGACACTCATTAGAGTCATCAGACTATGTAAAATGTTATTTTCAAGCCATCCAGCGTGACAATTAGGTTCATCGTCTGTCTTACTTCCACTTTTTCAGTGACAATTTTTCAAAGGCTGTCTCGAGTAATTTGGAACCAAATGAAACACAGTGAAGTTGGGACTGAATACTAAATTTCGGGGGAAATATAGCACAATTCATTTACTTGGAAATACAACTCAAATTCAAAGTAAATATAATTAGAATAACGCACGGGCCGTAACGGTTAAGGCATGGTACGGCACGCAAATATACACATTCTTCAACCACAAATGAAAATACACTACTATACCAACTCTGATATAAATACACTTTTATACCACACGTTTAAAACAACCAGGAAATCATTGTTTTTACTAATCAATTTTCATCACTATATAGTTTCTGTACAAGTGATTGAGATTTTTAAGATAGGTACTACTTAAGGTCTTATTCAGTAAGCTCTGACTTCCACATTGTGCCGATTTAGATGCTTTTTTTTTTTATTAGATTCTCAAAAACCAAAACGACCAATACGATAGAGTAAAAACACAGAAAAAGCTGGGGAAAAACAAATACAAACGTGTATACTAGCAACAGCAACAATGTAAAGTAAGAGTAAACAGGTGTTGTGCCAGACAAAACGGTATAAAACAAGAAAAAAGAAAGCCTTCAGTCATTAATTTTATCATCGGATTCACTTAGACTTAAACACTGAACTGATGTCGGCCTTTTGCAACGCATCTGTCCTGTCTAGTCATGAGCTAACCTGATCTAGCTAGTTTACTCAGTCAAAGAACACATGCTGAAAAAAAAGCACACCACATGCTGAGAGTAATATTTGAACGTGGATAAACAAGTAATGCACTGTACCGCGTAATGAGTCTTAAATCAATAAATGACGAATATGATATAAAACAGTTGGTATGGTAGTAAGCAGTTTGTCATGTAGTGAAAGACAAGGGAAGGGAAGAGAAAAGAAATGGATGGATGGATGGATGGATGGATGGATGGATGGATGGATGGATGGAT